GAAACATCGGATCGTCTTGTACTGCATTCGCCAACACTCGGGCATCATGTGCAGATCCCACCATTCCAACATAACAATATGTGAAAAGTATGTCATAATCACATATGACCAAAACATTAAGGCTAGTGATTTCTTTCTATTCAAAAATCGGAGAGTTTATCAACCTGGTGAAACCATAACTGGTACATACATTCCATCAAGAGCACCAACAAATCCATAAAAATAAGTTCCATATTTTGCATCCCTCTAAAAACGGTTGGAGATGGCTGTAAGTTCTTTGGCTGTTCGTGGCCGTACATAATCTACAGCCATTCGCTTCATTGCTTAAAGAACATCATGCAATTTTCGTCAAATTGTCTCTTGCGAACATCCGAAACTTAGTGCAATATCACGTTGAGTATTGTTTTGTGCACAAAGGATTAGAAATATTGCTACACTTTCATCAAGATATATGCGGTTCAAGGTTTCTAACCCATAATTCTCATGAAGTATTCCACACAATCGTGTGAAAGCCTCCGGATTATCTGAATAAGTGTTTTACATGAAATATCATTATCGTAAATTTGACCTCGTATAATAAGCCAACATTTTCCTTGATTCGAACTTGTAGGCCGCTTACAAAAATATCTTGGAATAATATTGCAACATAGGAGATATGCATGTGTTCATAGCCTTTTCTTCTTCTAGTAAGATCAACTCCACGATCTCTTCATCATTAAGATTTTCGACTCCGTTTGAACGTAATTCAACAATTCGAAATTCCTAATAATTCATGTAAAAATAGAGTTAAAAATTGAAGAAAAACATATATTCACCAATAACTATACATAAACAAGATATAATTTATTAATTCACCAACAACACTAATTTGGTTCATCATTGCCTCTACTCGTATTAAAAGAGTAACATTTCTGGAACATTTCCAAAATTTGATCTTGGAAATCTATGAGGGTTCATGTCAAGTGACCATAAGTTGAACCCAAAATTATGAGAAGTTTGAGAGTTAAATCTTCTTGATGCTTGACTAGGCAAAATGTTTCTCATGCCATCATAGTTGATATACCATGATTTTGACCTATTTTTAGTCATGGTATATTGGTGTTTTTATAACTATTTATTATATTATAAAATTTTTTAAGCATATTTATAGGTTTAGAAGTATTTTGTAAGAAATTGATGTTTTTGGAATATTTTAGAAAGAATTCGAAAAATCACTCGATTTGGATATCGACAACACCACAAGGTCGACACGGAGTGATTCATATCGATTGATATGCCTTATGCAGTATTGATCGATGCCGAAGGCACGGAGCCCCAATTCGCGAAGCAAGCGACTTGAAACCCAATACTTCACCAAATTACAGTTATGCCACTGACGAGTTTTAACCTAAGTATTTATACTTTGCTAAGGTGTTTTAGGAAAAAGATAACTTTCTTGTATTCTTTTTATACAGAAAAAGGTTTTTATGATTTTTAGTTTGGGAGAGAAGATCCAGAGAGATTTGTGATTGGAACTCCATTGTTTTCTATATATCTATATTTATGTAGTTTAATTACCTTGCTTGTGTTATGATTTGCTTAGCTATGTCTGAGTAATTCAGTTGTTAGAGTTAGGTTTAAATATGTTAGTGGGATTAGCCCCAACTATAGGATCGCTTGTTGTGGTATTCATTAATAGGATGTCCTTAATGATTATGTTCTAGACTTGCTAACTAGAAACCTAGATCTAGGAGTTTTAGATTGTTTAAGCAACCTTTAGGAAATTTGATTATCATGAATCTATTTTCTATTAAGCTAGGATTTTATTAGAAACATGGCGAGAGATTGATCTAGGAATCCATAGTGAGTATAGATTAACTCGCGCATAACACTTAACTAGCCGCATCGATCGATATTCCCATCGGAAATCGATCGACATTGAGTAAAGTGTATCGATCGATATTCCTATAGAATATTGATCGACACTATTATTGATCAGACATTATTGTTTGGGTTGATAAAGATCTAGTTAATAGACTTATCCAGTAAGCGAAAGCCTAATGAATTGTTATTTAGAGATTAAGCTCGCTCTTTGATACCATGCAAACAACTAATTAACATCTATAGGATTATCTCCAACACCTGAATAAAAACCCTAAGTCTAACACTTTTTCAATTTAGTTCAACCCTCAATCTATTCAGTGGAGTGATTGTCTTACTCAACCTAATATTTACTATTTATGTCTACCTCATTACTGTAATTTTAATTTTAAACCAACCTAGCATTATTAGTTGATTAGGTTTAATTGGTTCCCTAGCTCCTTGTGGATTTGATCCCTAAGTACTACAACTGATCTCTTATTTGAGACAGTAAAGCCACTCCTTAGAATAATTTGAGAGGTATCAAATTTGGCGCCGTTGTCGGGGAGCTTGGATCGCCATTAGATTTAGTCTGATAATTCTAGGTTTTTTTGTTTTTTTTATTTACCATCTTCTGACA